CATTTTTAACATTTGAGAGAAAATTAATCATTCAAACATATACGTTTAGTTTGGGAATTCCCATTCTTGTAGGTGAATGCTCTGAAACAACAGTGCAGCCTCTAAATTATGCAGCCTGTAAAGCTAGCTAACTATGGGAGGATCCAATTAAAACACACTACGACTCGACTGAAAAAGCCTCCACTTTCCTTGTGCTCTTTTCAGCTAACACATACCCAGCATCCATTCTGTCTTGAAGGCGGTGCTGGATACGCTGGAAAATACAAGGAGACACAATGGACTGGGCTTGACCTTGAGAAATGATACCGCCTGGGGGGAAAACAGAGCGAGAGGAGAGACTGTCCAGGGTCCTGGCTTTGCCTCGGTGGCCACCTGACCGCAAACCCTGGCCTCTCCCGTAGAAAAAAGGGTTTAACGTTACAGGGCCATCCTACTGTATTTTGAAAATAAATTACAACAAAAGAGAAAATACTGGGTGAATTTTTAAAAGTCACTCGATGCGAGACAATATATAAGCTATACAAATCTTACTCATGAAACAACTGGAGAATAGAAAGAACATAGAAGTACAATATGTGCCGCGTCGATGCAGTTTCTCTACATGTATGCAACATAACTGTCATTCTTGAGATGTTTATAGCTGTTCCTGAGAAAGAGTCCCATGGCTAAACGGAGTAGGGACACAGCGTTTAAATGAATTTACTGTGATCAGTACTGCCACTACCAGTCATTAACAATTAACTAGTGCCAGAAACAGAGCCATGGAACTTTTACGGATCATCTCATTTAACGTCACAACAACCTTAGCAGAGAAATATTACTACCTGTTCTGCAATGGAAAGTGAGGCGGGAGGCCTTACGTAACTTGCCCACGGTCACACAACTAGTTAGTGGAAGATTCTAACTCAAGAGAAAATACACACAACACACCATTGTGCCTTATGTTCTCAAAGGTTTTTTTTTTTTTTTTTTTGGTTTGGTTTTTTGCCACAGAGAGTGTGCGCATGCTGGAGAAAGACAGAAGGGATGGCCACGCTGCAGTCCCTTCTCCATTCTCCTGTTGGGATTTTGGGTGCAGTCCCTTCTCCATTTTCCTGTATGGATTTCGGGCACCCAAGCACATATGCCCAGCATCGCTGTCCAAGCCATTGGGTCTGGAATTTGAGCTGTGTTTGACAATGTGGGAGTCCTATGCCTTCACCACCACACCACCTGCTGCCCCTATTTTTGAAATTCATTGTGAATCTCTTGGAGGAGACTATATGTGACTTTCCTGAATTTATTATTTTGGAATAGCGTGTAGCATTCTAGGAAATGGAGCAATAATCAAAATACACTCATTTCCTTTTCCTAAACTTTTCTTCTTCCTAGGCCTGGGCTATACTTTAGTCGAAATTACTTCCTGAATGATCTATTTAGCCCAAATTAGTGATCCAGGAAATAATAACTGAAATTACTAGTCTAGGCCACTGTCATAATACTGACAACAGCGCAGCAGGGGCCAGCCACATCATCCACAGCACCATTCGATCCAAATGTGTGGAGTCAGAACTTCACATTATGTAACTGCGGAAGCTATCGAGACTTAAAGCAGCAGTTCCCAACCTTTTGGGCACCAGGAATTGGTTTCGTGGAAAACAAGTTTTCTATGGATGGGAGGTGGGGGAGGTGGTTTCAGAATGATTGAAGCACATTTCATTTATTGTGTATTTTATTTCTATTATTATTATTACAGTGTAACATATAATGATATAATTACATAGCTCACCGTAATCACCGTAATGCAGTATGTGTGGCCGCTCCCCAGGGCTGGCATCACCGTCTCAGATCATCAGGCATTAGATTCTCATAAATCTAGACTCTCTAGATCCCCCACATGTGCAGTTCACAACAGGACTTATGCTCCTATGAGAATCTAGTGGCACCACTGATCTGACAGGAGGTGGAGCACAGGTGATGTGAGTGAAGGGGAGCGGCTCTAAACACAAATGAAGCTCCGCCCTTCTACCCCTCACTGCTCATCTCCTCCTGGGCGACTTGGTTCCTAACAGGCTACAGACTGATACCCGCCTGTGACTTAAGGATGAAATGTATCAACTATGAAATAATATACATTGCAGTTACATATAGTATCATACCCCTTGACATTCACAATATCACATAAAGAAGGATAAGACTGGGACCAGCAATTAAGCATAATGGCTATGTCGCTGGACTCCCACATAGTCGACCACGGTTCGAGTCCCGGACCCGGTGGCTTAAAACTCACGCCAGGCGCGTGTGCGTGCATGCCCAAGATCCTGAGAGGAGAATGGAGGAGAAGGGATTATGGTGTGGCCATCCCCCCTGGGGGGTGATTTCTTGCTTTCTGTCTCTCTGTCTGTCCAGCGAACGCATGCGCCCTATAGCAAAAACCTCTCCAAAAAAAGAAAAAATAAAAAGAAGGATAAGACTGAAATATTAAACTTTTGCTCTGTACTTATTATTTATTGCACTTTATAAGGAAAAAAAATAAACAGTCCCATGAAGCAGTTTTGTTACCAATGAGAAAAATTTTCCTCATCTAGTTTATGTAGCATAGCCTATAATATAATCATTTCCTTTGAAAACCCACAATTTTTATAGTTGACACTATTAAGGTAAACTTAGTGTAGGAGAAACTCAATCATAACACATCAAACAGTTTTACAGAGACTACTAAAGTCTCCTTTCTTGACGATTAAACCATGTATTTGTGCTGAGCTAAAAGCCAGGGATATATGAACAGCTCAGGTGGAAGGCCAGGCAGAAGTGGGGCCCGGGGACCAAGGACAAGTAGCTAGGCAATTTGGTATCTTCACATACTCTCCCCTTGAGAATCACACAGGCAGTAAGGAAATGGAATTTTGGGGACCAGCAGATGTCATAATGGTTGTCACTGGACTCCACATAATCAACTGTGGTTCAAGTCCTGGACCCAGCGACTTAACACTCATGTCGGGCATGTGTGCGTGTGTGCTGAAGATCCCAAGAGGAGAATGGAGGAGAAGGGATTGTGGTGTGGCCATCCCCTCTGGGGGACGATTTCTCGCTTTCTCTTCCTCTGTCTCTCCAGTGAACATCCTACAGCAAAAAATCTCTCTCTTTCTCTCAAAAAAAAAAAAAAGATAAATGGAATTTTTTTTTCATAAGAAATCTAATATGTAAATAAAGTACTAACATGAGCATGACACTGCCATCAACTCTCTTGAAGCAATCACTGTCAAACACATATTAAGCCCCACACAGTTATACTGAGTATTAGCAATAGTGATGAACTCAGGGTAAGTTGTTAATGTCAACATAGCATTGGAACAAATTAAGAAAGTGTGAAAGACATGTGGGAAAACATTCCCTTCAGCACTGTACCCTAAAGAAGAAAAAATTCTAACATTGCTTCCTGGCCAAAAGCAACACCGAGAAGATGAATGGGGATTTGTCGTTGGATGGGTACAGTTTGAGCTACACAAAATGAAAAGTGCTCTGGAGACAGATGGTGCTCACAGTTGCACAACAATGTGAGTGTACTTGATGCCACTGGACTTATAAATGGTTAAGATGATAAATTCTGGACCATCTGGTAGTGTGGTGGCTAAGACAGCTGGATCCTACATGGTCAGCTGGTGCAGTTCGAGTCCTGAAGCTGGTCTGGTGGCTTTAAAAACACACCCAAACCGTAATCAGCCATGTGGGAGTCCAGCCCTAACCACCACACCTGCTGGTCCCTGCACATAAATTCTGAAAGGACTATACTCTGTACTCCTGTGTCCTTTGTACCTGAGGAGGGGACTGAAGCCCCAAATGGGTGGCTGGATCAAATGACTACAAAAGATCTCCCCAGATCTAACTTATGCCAAGACCACAGTGAAGCGTGGGGATGTTCCGAGACACGAGACGTGACCCTCTGTGGTCCCAGGACACGATGGCAACTGGGCCTACCTTTGTGTGGTCGGTCAGAACTCAGCGTTCTAAGAAGATGAGTAACCGATTCGAAAATGAGCTAATTGTTCTACAACTCTGAAAACACGTATTAATATCGATGTTAAAACAGCGAAGGTGAAAACACGCTCGTAATGTGATGCAGGGTTAGAGTATATATGGAAAACAGCTCTCTGGAGGAAAGCTTTATTACTCCCTCAGGGCTTTCTCTCAGAGTATGGATTTTTTAATTCCTAGTGGAATATTTTTCATACACCATTGCAGACTATTAAGTACCAGATATTACATTATGTAGTTTAAACTTTGCACTACTGCATGAGAAAGACTTCCCTGTCGAGAGAACTATTTTTTTACGGTTAGCATTTTTTAATATGAAAATGAACACTCCTTTAGGGTAAGATCACTGCCGCTGGAATTTGGGAGAATTTTATAACTTAACATATTCATCAATGTGTAGAAATTCTCTCAGGGGTGTGAGGGGAGGAGAGAAGGAAATACGACAAGAAGAAGGCTTTTTAATAACTTAGAGTGTCGACACGGGGCAGAGCAATGGTAGTTATGAGGTTTGCCTTCCACTGGGCATAGCTGTAAACAGACAAGGGACCAGCAAAAGGTGCTAGTGAGTTAAAGAAAATAACGGTGTTAAAGAGTGAAGGAAAAGAGAAAAAAATGCATTAAACTTCGGGCCAGTTAAAGGTACACTTGCTAATGGTGGACTATTAACTGCTCACCCAGGAGAGATGCAGACTCAGAAATATTAAAGGCAATATAAATGCACTTTTCAGGCAATTCCGGAGAAAATAAACGCCTCGCAGAATTTTGGAGTCGAATGTGGAAATAAAATCCAGGCACTGGCAGCCATTTAAAGCTCTCTGCCACGGATAACGCGGACCCCAGCACCTGGCCAAAGTGGGGAAAAAGTTTAAACAAAATTGACTACTCACTTGTAGACCGTGCCTCCGTTGCCGTGACCAAGGGTGTCTCGATACCGTATGTCTTGTTCATTCATCTCCACAAGAAAGAAAGAAAAACAAAAAGGGTGTCATGGCGTGGATGGAAATGTCAAGGAAAAGCAACTCTGGGCCATAAACAACAAGCAGTCTGGGTCATTTCAAGTTCAGCTGCAAGAACGAGAAGATCAATACAACATTTGCTGTCCAATTTATAAAAGACGATACCAAGGGACAAAGTGATGGAAAGTTTAATGACAATTTGTTTGCCTGGGTCATTTCATTAAAGTTTGATAAAAGGTGTCAAAATGGAATGATATAACATAGCTCAAAAGGGTCAGGTCACAGATGCTGATAAGAAAGCAGTCTCTCGTACTGCACATAACGGAAACCACACAGCACCGCACACACCCAGAGTCAAACTTCAGGCGACGCACACGCACGCACACAGTAATCTAATGCATGATCTGTAAATAAATCAGCCCCTAAAACTCCTCAGATGACCCTATAATTAACACTTAACAAACACACTGAATAATGCTTATGATTTCCAAGGGTAGCTGAGGTTCTTTTCTTTGCAAATGATAAATTAACGTACAGCGGTTAACAGGGAAGAAATCATATTATACTGACAAAAAAGTGCCAAAGCCATGCACTTTAAAATTCATAGTCAAACACAATGCATAAAGGGAAAACAGAGATGCATGTAATTTTTATATATTTTCATAATTTAATATATAAAACAGCACAGTTTTTCCAAGGTTCCATAAAACCTAGTAGACCACAAATACTACTCTCATTTGGATTGTGAATAGTAGGTGAATCATGTCAGTGTGACAAAATAATATTTTAGAATTTTTAAAGAACTCCCTAAATAATTATTTATCAAATAACTTTAAGACTATTTGGACTCAATTTGATGCATTCGGTAATTTTTTACACATTGGTCCAGTTGCTTAAAAATTAACTGCCAACTTTATTCACTAAGTGGATTTAATAAAGGTGTTATTTTCCATATAGCTAAAGCTTGGGAAAAGCCATAGTAAGCTCTGGGAAAAAAAAAAAAAAAAATCAATTTCCAGGGAATTGCACTGCCTTGCACGGGCAGAAAATGGATGGAGTTTTTAATTCAATATCACTTGGAAAAAAAACTGTTTGCTCTCAGACCATTACACTAAAGCTTTAAATATCTTGCTCTACTCTAAACTTCCACCAATTGAATAAAGCAAGCCTTCATTTATCAAGGGAAATATTTCCCTTCTATACATTTCTGAAGTTGAAGCTTCAGAGAGCTGTGATAATTAAGAGTACAGTGCAGGTAACAGGAACAGCTTCCTTCCTGAGCCGTTTTGCCAATCCCTAAAAGAATATTGACAGATTAGTGTGTAAAGGCCAATTCGGCATCCAATTTAACTGTAGTACAACCTGATTGATGCAATTTACAATCAGCTAATTACTATATATTTTAGGGTCAGTGAAGAAAAGACAAGTCAGAAAAACTGGCAACTATTTTTGTACTTGAGGGAAATTCTGTTCTTCACTCCTTTTATATAGCTAGTACAGAAAAAAAATATTTTTTTCAACCTGTATAAAAGATTGTGGTATGAAGAAAACAAAAGGCACATATTATTCTGAAGTGAATGATAGATTTGAAAGCAGTGTGAAGAAAATCAGCACATAAAGTGACTTACTTGAGATGCTAAATTAGCTGAGCTGCTCCTTGGTTTACTCTGATCAATGAAGGATGCGTAAATAGTGGTATCTATTGGCGGGTACAAATAGGCTACTAGGCCAATTCCCTTAGAACATTTCTCTAGGTAATCTAAACATGCCTCCAACAACCTAATTTATACCATTAACTTGCCTAACAAGCTGCACCCTCATCATGGCGCACAGGAAAGTCCACGCAGAAGGCCAGCAGCGGTAGTGCCCGCTGGTAGACACTGCTACTTGGCAGGTGAGGCCACATAGAAGCCTGAATTTGATTCCCAGCCCACTATAAAAGGCAGGTGTGCAGTACACACCTGCAGCCCCAGCTACTTGGAGGATCATGTCAAGGCTAATCATCTGTCAAAAAAATAAGATAATCTAGGAGAGAGAAATCCCACTCACTCAAGTCCACGCTGAGCTTTCAAGGAAGCAGACGGAGCTATGTAGTATCAGACCCTCTGCCACTCCCCAGGCAACCATACTAATCCTGGCATCCGAGTCATTTCACTGCTAATAGCAACGGGGTGGAAAGAGAAGTGGAACCGTCAAACACTCAGCATTCCAACTCTCCAAGCTCACCAGGAGTGGAAGGTATCCAACATGGTCAGGAGACAGGCTGAGAGTACGAGAAAGCTGGCAGGGCTAGAGGATAGGGTGAGAAGGCAAGTGTTATTTACAACATGTGTAGGTACACACATGTGTGCTGATGCACACAGGAATATGGGGGAGCCAGCAGTTAGCGTAATGGCTATGTCGCTGGACTCCCATGTAGTTGACCGCGGTTCGCGTCCCGAACCCGGTGGCTTAAAACTCACGCCGGGTGCATGTGCATGCATGCCCAAGATCCCGAGAGGAGAATGGAGGAGAAGGGATTGCGGCGTGACCATCCCCTCTGGGGGTGATTTCTTGCTTTCTGTCTCTATGTCTCTCTCTGTCTGTCTGGCGAGTGCATGCGCTCTATAGTGAAAACCTCTCCAAAAAAAAACAGACAGGAATATGGAATCCCAGGACTGGCAGGTGGCATGGTGGTTAAGAAGGCTGGACTCCCACATGACTGACCATGGTTCAAATCCCAGACCTGATGGCTTGCTTTCTCACTTTCCTTCTTTCTCTGTCTCTCTCTCTCTCTGATTAACTTCAAAAATAAAGACAATGACGGGATCCAGCAGTTGGCGTAATGGCTATGTCGCTGGACTCCCATGTAGTCGACCGCGGTTCGAGTCCCGGACCCAGTGGCTTAGAACTGACGCCGGGCGCGTGTGCGTGCGTGCCCGAGATCCCAAGAGGAGAATGGAGGAGAAGGGATTGCAGCTTGACCATCCCCCCTGCGGGGTGATTTCTCGCTTTCTGTCTCTATGTCTCTCTCTGTCTGTCTGGTGAGTGCACGCACCCTATAGCAAAAACCTCTTAAAAAAAATAAAGACAATGAATAAAATTTTTTTAAAAATTCTTAAAAAAAAGAAATATGGAACCCCTTAGATAATGAGGAAGATTGCAAGAGTCTCATAAATATGATTTTGAGGAGCAAGTTCTAGAACCATGTTGTTTAAAAAGGGAATATCAGGCCAATACATGGTATGGAGGTTAAGGTGACCAGATCCCTCATGGTCAATTTCAATTTCATGGTTTGAGTCCCAGATTGTGGCTTCAAAATCACACTGAGCGCATGTGCGTGCATACCCAAAATCCCAAGAGGAGAGTAGAAAGAATCAACTGTGGCATAGCCATCCCCCGGGGGATGATTTCTCACTTTCTCTCTCTCTCTCCAGCAAGCACACATGTCCTACAGCAAAAAATAAACATAAAAAAGAATTTTAAAGACAACATCTGTGTGTGTGTGTTTGGGGGTGGGGGGAGATTACAGTGTTCTACAAGGGTTTAAAGTTACATAGACCTCTGGCTTACAACGAATTGATTAGTCTTTCTTTATGTTAAAAATTATTAGATTTGGGGCCAGTAGGTGGTGTGGTGGTTAAGGGCACTGGATTCCCACATGGTCAACCACGGTTCTAGTCCTGAGCCTGGCGGCCTGCTTTCTCGCTTTCTCTCTCTCTTTCCTCCTCTCCCTCTCTGTCCCTCTCTGGTCAAATTAAAATAAATGAATAAATATGCAAATAAAGTTAAATAAAAAATAATTCTTAGAAAAATTATCAGATGTTTTTTTCTTTTTGCTTATTTGAATTTTCTGATTTTTCTGTAGTATACAAATATTGTTCATATTAAAAAAAGTTTTAAAAAGGAAAACTTTGGGACCAGCAGTTAGCGTAATGGCTGTGTCGCTGAACTCCCATGTAGTCGACCACAGTTTGCGTCCCGGACCCAGTGGCTTAAACTCACGCCCGGTGCGCATGTGCGTGCGTGCCCAAGGAGAATGGAGGAGAAGGGACTGTGGCATGGCCATCCCCCCTGGGGCGTGATTTCTTGCTTTCTGTCTCTCTGTCTGTCTGGCGAGCGCACCTAAAGAAAAAAAAAAAAAAAAAAAAACTCTCAAAAACAAAAAAGGAAAACTTAAGTGAAACTCATGAATTGATTACCAAAAAAATCTGACAATTTTGTATCTCTGATCAAAATAGATTATTTTAATTGATAACTCTGAAAAAACTCATTAACGGGATCAACAGTTAATAATATTTTTGCCTTTCTAGTTTGCATGAGCATATTAATCCAACATATCAAAATGAAGCAGAGAAACAGTGTCCTTTATGAAAAAAAGCAGGAGGCATAAGCCTATGGGCTATTGTCCTTAAATATGATAGCTGGAGTCAAGTATCGTAATAGTCACAGCATGCAACAGCATTCTAACACCATCTAGCCCAATTCACTCAGGCTATCTGATCAGTCAAGGCTAGAACTCGGTCCTTGGTGCTATGTGACAGCAGTCTGTCTCAGGTGTCACTACGAAAGGACACTCCTCCCTAGCAATGGCCACTCGCCCATGGAGGGTAAACAATCTGAAGGGCACTCACAAATTAAAAGCAATTTCATTTGTTATGATGTTGTTCTGAAGAAGAGAAATGTTTTTAAAAAATCATATAGCTCTTTAAAATGAAAAAGAGGGGAAACAAAGTTTCTTAATAAATATACCAGTCAATTTCAAAAAAAAAAAAAAAAAAAAAAAAAAAAAAGAAAAGAAAAGAAAGATAAGAAAAGGCAGAGAGATGGCGAAGAAAAAGCCAGCAGGTGGCAAGGTGGTTAAGGTGTTGGGCTCCCACATGGCTGACCTCAGTTCAAATCCTGGACACCACTTGAAAAATCACGCCGGGCACATATATGTGCGTGCCCAAAATCCTTAGAGGAGAACGGAGGAGAAGGGACTGCAGCATGCAATCACCCATGGGGGGTAGTTTCTCACTTTGTGTGTCTCGTTCTGTCTCTCTATAGCAAGTGTACACACCCTATGACAAAAAACTTTAAAAAAAGAAAAAGAAAAAGAAAGAAAGAAAAGAAAAGAAAAAGCCACAGTTAAAGAATTAACTGCTGGGGACCAGCAGTTAGCGTAATGACTATGTCGCTGGACTCCCACGCAGTCGACCACGGTTCGTGTCCCGAACCCGGTGGCTTAAAACTCACGCCGGGCGCGTGTGCATGTGTGCCCAAGATCCCGAGAGGAAAGTGGAGGAGAAGGGATTGCGGTGTGGCCATCCCCCCTGGGGAGTGATTTCTCGCTTTCTGTCTCTCTGTCTCTCTGTCTGGCAAGCACACGTGCCCTATAGCAAAAACCTCTTAAAAAAAAAAAAAAGAAAAAAAAATTAACTGCCAAGACAAAATGACCTGAGAGAGACGGCTGGCACAGGGCTCTGCTGCTGAAAGGCAGGCAGGCCAGGAAGGAAACGGACAGGCAGCAGCTGCCCTTCTGTGGGCAGGGGAAGGCGTCGTGCAGTCGGGACTTGCATACGCAATCATATTTACATTTCAGTCTTCGTGTGGGATCCACCGTGAACCTTAAGAATTTAAGAGTTTTATAAACTGGTGATGATACAGTTTTTAAAGTGAATTTTACAGTGGATACCTAGTTCTGCCCCTCGCCCCTGCCTTTTCTCCTCCCCTAAACACAAAAGGTCTTTCTAAAGGCATGTGAAGTCCTCAAGTTAACAGTCAACGCTGCAGCAGGCCTAGAATGAGTTCAGGATCTGTGGCTTCTCAATACCTTTACCCTTGATTTGCCAAGAAAAAAATCAAATACTGCCACCGTCTCCTACAAGTTCTAAAAAGCGAAAAGAGGAAGTGACTTTAGGGAGGCAAAGGTCCAAGTCGCACAGCCTTGCCCTGACCGTGCGCTCTTCACGTCCTCCCTTAGGCTGGCCCCGTGGGCTGCTTCGTACCAGTTTCAAATCTAAGACCACGTTAAACAGACAAAGGCCCCCAGGCCCCAAGAGGGGAAAGCAGCCCCAGCCACACCTCAGGGAGGCGATGGGTAGCTCTCAATAAAAGATGCCCAAAGATTTACTTTCTTAAGCTGCAAAAATGGCATCCTCCATCATAAATTGCTAACAGGAAAACAATGTCTCCAATCCAAAGCCCAAGTGTTACACTTTCTAAAAACTGCTTGATTTAATATAAAATTAATGAAATTAATGGGAAAATGAAATGGAATTCAAGTATGGATCAGCAAGGAAAATATTCTTTGTTTATTGTCTGCTTGTGTTAAGAAGAATCAGTACCTATCTCTTATAAATCATTAAAATAAAAATGCTCAATTAATCCTTATTTTATATGGAAAGGTCTGACAGAAACTAGTCCTATCACTAGACCTTTGCTTCACAAATCGAAGCCATAATGGTTTCAGAAAGCAGTCACAGTCTATGAGCAGACAATTGGAGAGATTTAGTAAATCCCACTTTATAGAGCAGAGACTGATCGGAAAACACAAGCCAGTCAAATGTTTCTTATGAACTGTTGACACTATATCAATGCAGAATCAATCGGTGGCATTTACTCTGAGTGACAGAAAAGAAATAAATATTTATATCACATAACCTATATCAATGAACCCAGGCAGAAAGCTATTTCTAACCTGTCAATATTTGATTATCTTGAAGAATCATGTCCCTTTCTTTTAATGATTAATATGAATTCCTTATTAAATCTAAGTGGAGGCTAGTGGGAAGGCAAATCATTATTAATGCTTGAGAGCATAAACCACTAAAATAAAAAACTAGGCTCAAGTGCTAAAGTATCGTTAAATGTGACTTACGCCTTCCACAGCCAGTGCTGCCGGCCACACTGGGCACACCCCTCACCGCAACACCGCTGCTCACTACCCGACAGCGCACGGAATGGGCAAGCAGCAGGAGGGGGTGCTTTGAAAGCTTCCAAAGGTGGTTATTTTTTGGGGGGTAGGGTGTTGAGTGAAAGTTAATATAAAGGCTAATCCTTCCAAGAAAGAAATGCCATCCCCTTTACTATGGAGCTACCGTGCTCCCAAGGGAAAGCAATAAACAATCTTTAAGTGTCAAAAATCATTGCCACGGCAATCCCCTACCACGAGCGCCTCAGAACTGAGACCACGGAGATATTTATGGTGCGAGGCTTGTTGTCGATAGTTAGAAACATTTCAAAATGCTTTTTTTTTTTGGCAGTGGAAATACACTGTTTTTCATTTTTGAAAGAGGAATCTGTGACAGGTTATTTTCCATTGCCTGGGTTGAACAAATGTAGTTAAAGCTTCTTAATTTATGTCAATTTTGAAATATATTTTCCAGCTGAAGAACACGAGTGACTCATACATAAATTACAATTAGTAACTAGAATGCACGCATGTTGAAGATACATAAATATCCCACGCTCAGTATGTCTCCTCTTAGTCGGGTTTATTCCATCCTGGTTCTGAACACACACAGGGCATGGAGGGATTCCAGACGTGAACCTCTATCTGAAGAAACCTTTGGCTGCTTAAGGTCAAAAGTTCTAGATAAATGGGGCTGGGCTTGCAGCCTAGTGGTTAACGGAGCCCAATCCCACATGTCTGACCATGGTTCAAACCCTGGCCTCGGCAGCTTGGGGAAAAAAAACGCCAAATGTGCATGTGCGTATCCCAAATTCCACACAGTCCACACCCTAATGGGAAGAGCTGTCTCCCTGCCTCTCTCTCTCTCTCTCTCTGTCTCTCTCTCTGGTGAATGCACATGCCCTCTGATAACTAAACAAAAAAAAAAAAAAAAAGGTTAGATAAATACTATCTCAGATTTTTTAGTCTAGCAAGATTACACATGCGTAAAACACCAGCGTCTCCCTAGCTGTATACAGAATCCACTCTCTGGATGACAGTCAGATGTCAGAACCAGATCGACATAACTTTCTCTAACTGTATTCAAGGGACCGTGTGCTAACTAAGCAGACTTCCAGGAGCACTACCACAGTCACCGTTCAAGGCACACACATCTTCCGGGCTGCCATGTTACAGGTGCGAGGGAAGGACAAGCGTGAGGCCCCAGATTCGTCTTCTTGACATGCTCCACTCCAAGCACTTGATTCATGAAATGCCAATGAGGCTTGGAGAGGTCAGCGTGTGAAGGCACTGAATAAGCATCTGAGATAATTAAGATTTCAGCCTTCGAAACATGGACGGGAAGTGAACAGCAGTTAAGAAAATCAATAAGAGTCTTTTATTTGCAGTGACACAGATGTCTCAGTCAATAGAGTCTAATAGGCAGGCCTGATGGCGATGGACAGGCGCCCGCCTCCCGGGCTATCAAGGGCCCCCGGCGATAGCAAACATGAAGGCGCATTTACGCTGCCGTTGAAGAACTGAGGGCCCTGTAGGTAGCTTAATTTACCAGGGTATGTTTAAAAGCACCGTACTATTTCAGATATGTCCATGTGCTTGAATCAAATCAGTGAGGAGTAGCTGGCCTGCGGGCCAGGCTGTCCCTCACTGGCTGGCTCGGGTCATTCGGCTTCAGACGGCAGGTCGACTAGGCTAACCATGGTCCCCTGCAGCCCAGGCATTTTAAATGAGTCTGCTGTGACTCCGTTTCCCTAAAAAGCCAGCAATGATTTCAGAAAAAAAGGAGGCAAGAAAGCCACCGTTTTTCCTTTTCTCCCCAAAGATAATGAAAGCCAGAGCCACCTCCGAACGCAGGGCCATTTCAACCACCCATGGGCTGACACACTTGTTCAGAACTGATTAACTTTTTTTTACACTGAGCTGGCAGCAGGGTGTGTGCATGGGACTTCAATCTGCTGGGAGTGAAACCCATTAGCACAGTTTGAAAAACGTGCTGCAAATTGTTCTGCCAATCAAATTAAGCCATGTTGTTCATTTATGACAGGGAGAAATGCACAGGCCCTTTATCTGCTTAGTAAGCTTATGGAAACAAAAATCAGACCATAATAAGTTACCACCACGTGAAAATCTTCCTATGTAATAAAACCTACCTGGCCATTCGCTAGTATTTTTTTCAGTTCAGCAGAAGACTTCTTCAAGCTGAAAAGGAAAGACACAATTTTTACTGGCAAGATCACCAACACCATTGAACACAGTTAAAAATTACTGAATACACTTTCACTTTTCAGTTTAGGCATGAACTACACTCTTTTCTTTTTTTATTTTGCTATAGGGTGCATGCACTCCTTGGGGAGAAAGAGAGAAGGAAAGTGAGAAATTACCCCCCAGGGGGACGTCCACACCGCAATCCTTTCTCTTCCATTCTCCTGTTAGGATTCTGGGCACACATGCACACACGTCCAGCGTATTTTTCAAGTTGCCGTGTCTGAGACTCAAACCACTAAGTTGGCCTTAACTATCATGCCACCAGCTGGTCCATTAATACACTCACTATATCTTTCTCCCTATTTTTCGTTTTCACTTTACTTTTTTTCAAAAGTAACTGGCCAAATGCCAAAGTTATTCATGAAGCGACTAAACCCTTGTTGCTAATCTAAAGCAATAACAAAGCCTTAGTTAAGATGAAGCTAAGATACACACACACACACTTTAGGTTTTTGCCATGAGATATGTGTGCACACAAGAGAGAGACAGAGAGAAGGAAAGTGAGAAATCACCCTTTAGGGGGACAGCCATGCCACAATCCTTTCTCCTCCATCCTCCTCTCAGAATTTTCAAACCACCGGGTCCAGGACTGGAACCGTGGGCAATAATGTGGGCGTCCAGTGTCTTAACCACCATACCACCTGCTGGCCCCACACCTACAGTACTTTAAGGACTACCTCGAGGACTGTTTTGGGGCCATCAGTCGTGCCGCCTTTGGATGGACCTCCAGTGGCAATTTTATGCGGACACTCTCATCTGCAAATCACAAAGTACTTAACAATGAGCTCTGAGAATGTTCACGGCAGACGGAAGATAAAATGGGTACGTTAAGTCCTAGTCTCTTCCCACAGGTAAGCGTTGTAATTCAGCTTCCTGGGAAGTAAGTGCATAGAGAAATAACTCCTGTAACTCACTAGCTGTGTGAATGGAGACAAGTACTTATCCCCTCTAAATCTCAATTTCCTCTTTCTATAAAATGGAGAAAATATCAACTTTATAGCATTACTGGAAAAATTAAATATTACTAAAAACTTAACAGTGTGTTTTGCGCATAATGGGTACATTTTGTTAATAAAATTAATACATGCCTTTTCTATCCTTTCCTGTAGGTATGACACTCAGCTTCCAGAGTTACTCAGAACATATTAAAATGCGCTCTGGACATCCGATGGCTGCGTTAAACGTGTGTGGGGCCAGCTCTATGGCCTGATGGTTAAGGCAGCTGGGCCCCATGTGGCCAACTGCACAGTTCCAGGCTCACCCCTGACAACCTGACCAACGGCAGACATGTGTGAAAGCATGCCCCAAACCCCAAGATGGAAGAATGCAGGAGAAGGGATGTAGTGACCATTCCCAGAAGGGGTGCTTTTTCTTTTTCCTCTCTCTGTCTCTTTAGCCAGCACATGTGCCCTCTAGCCAAAAAAAAAGTATGTGAAAGAGCTTAATAAAAGTCTTTCTTGAATAATGAGGAGTGGCCAAGGGAAGCTCTGAGGTCCTAGCTTTGAGTTTTGCCTGTACACATCCACCTGGCTGGGAGAGCAGCCCAGAAAACAGCACCTCCCCCTACCAGGTCCCATTTAAAATTTAGTTTGTTAACTCCCTTAATCTAGCCACTGCAGCCCTCTAACTGTCTACCATCTCCCTGGGTGAGTCACCAATGTAGATGTCTTCTGTCCCACACACCTTCCCCAAGGTCTGAGAGCACAGACCACGTCTACAGACACACTCTGGATGTTCCATCCCCTTCTCACCCTGAACCGAGCCCAGTGACTGGGCACACACTAAGTCCCACATATGGTGGCCACTGTTCTGGTGCTGATCATGTCATGGCAGCGGCAGGAGTAACACAGCAAGACAAAGATCAGAAAGCAAAAGGGCTCAGGATAGGAATTCCAATTGTAACTTGAATGGATTACATTTGAGAAAATCTCAGACTTCAAGTCTGACCAAACCACTTCAAGTTGTAATTCTTAAATTCTCAAGTTCTGTATGGTGCAGTGTAGACTATGGAGCCCCAGCCCCTATTCTCCGAGATTTTACAGACTATGTCCTCGGCTAAGAGTTCTAGACTGTACTCAAGTCCTCCCAACTCCAAGAACCACGCACTAATGTGGCAGCGAGGAGTGCCCCAGAATGGGGGTACACATACCAAACCATCCACAACTGCTTCAGGTCACTCCCGTTTAACAAAATGACCATCGCAGCAACTATTTATTTATTTATTTTAAGGTTTTTGCCAAAGGGCACATGCACTTGCCAGAGAGAAAGAGAGAGAGACAGTGAGAGAGGAACTGAGAAATCACCCACCCACCCACCACCACCACCAGGGGGATGGCCACACCACAACCCCTTCTCCCCCGTTCTTCTAGGATTTTGGGCACACATGCACACAAGCCTGCAGTGATTTTCAGGCTGCCGGGTCCAAGACTTGAACCGCCATCGGCCACATGAGAATCCAGCATCTTAACCACCGGGCCACTGACTGGTCTGCAGCTACCATTTCTTGAGTGATGGCCACGTGCCAGCACTGCGCTAAATGCCGTGACTTACAATCTTAGTTTAATCTTCCCGTAACCCTAATTTATAGAGGAGACCAAGATGCAGACTTTGCTCAAAGTCAGTCCACCTGGTTCACACACACACACACACACAGACGATTTCTTTTTTCTGGGAAACATTTAGGTCCTAGTATTCCCATAAACTCCCAATTTGAAAGTTCCAATTATTGTAAAGACACAAATAACCAAACAAAGCCCAGGCAATGTTTCTCCACAGATATTCCATTATGTCATAAACCTGGAATAATAACATTTTGATTCATTGCATTTACAAGACGCCTTTCATCCAAGAAACAAAAACGTGATTCCTTAATACAGCTTCATCAATCTTCCTAACACTGGAGTAGCTAGATGTAAAGTTTAATCACCCTAATTTTACAGGAGAAAGCCGAGTTGTTTAGGAACGGCCGTGGCTTGGCAGTGGGACTTGACTTCAGCAATTATGGCCCAGAAACACATGCGGATTAGTGAGCTCAGTTTAATAAACGGTCATTCACCGAAGGCAAAGAACAATCCATGCCTTGGGAGTATGAGAGGCAAGCGGTGACTCCTTTCATCATGCCCGTACTTGGCTACCACCTAGGTCTAATTGAAAAACACACATACATTTCTTTGTGAATCAGTCTCCTCGATTTATTCATCACAGTAGCCTGAAATATCAAAAAAATCACATTTTAAAAGTTAAATGTGGGGTCCAGCAGGTGACACAGTGATTAAGGTCCTGGACTCCCACATGGCCGAACACGGTTCAAGTCCCAGACATGGCCGCTTGAAAATCACATCAGGTGCATGTGTACGCATGCCCAAAATCCTAAGAGAATGGAGGAGAAGGGATTGCAATGTGGCCGTCCCTCCTGGGGGGTGATTACTCACTTTTTCTCTTCCTAGTGATCACATGTACCCTATGGCAAAAACTCAAAAAAAAGTTTAAATGTGATTCATTTGTAACCTGAATATGACACTTGAAGAGAGACATTGAGATACCCAAAGAGTAAGAGAGTGAGAGGACTAGAAGTGATGTTGTATGAGTGGGGAGAGTTTAGGAATCACTCACTCATTCACGCAAGCCTGACCGTCTCCTATGTGCCAAACACATGCTGGGAAGTGGGACCTAGATGAGCCAGTGTCCTCAGAGTACAGGCTGCACCAGGGACAGAGGTGACCATGATACAATGCACTGCTGTGACAGCGGCTGGTGGGGAGGTGGAACGCACAGCGGGTGCGCCAGCGTAGCACGGGAGGTGGGCAGTAATCAGGTCCTCAAAGAAGCCCAAGGGTAGCCGGCGTAGCATGCAAGAGAGGGAACAGAAGACCTCGTCGTGAGAGGAGACGGATCCTTCCAGCACCGTGTGATGTCACCAAGGGTGCACATCAGGTAGGAAGGGGCAGAGCGGTGGGCCTGCAAGCGGGAGCGGCAGAGCTCCCAGAGGGACAAGGCCACTGCTCACGGCCCTGGAGGTTATTCTGCAGCCTGGGGGCATGAAGAGCAATGAGGGTTCTACAGGGGGCACTGATGGCCAGAGCTGTGCACGACCAAGGTCACCGGGCCCAGCATAAGGAGAGACTGAAAGGAGGCAGGACCAGGGCAGGGAACACTCAGGTGCCTGGGGCAGTGGTCTTGACAGCCTGGGCCTCTGTGAAGTGACGGAGATGCTGATGGCTAGCTGATTCAGAGCTTCCTGGAAGGTGGAACCTGCAAATGTAGGGACTGACAGGATGTGGGCCTGCAAGGCCTGTTACCCAGAATTAGCAACGGGGTACACGTGGGAGGATTTACTGAGATGGGAAACACAACAGGCTGTCTGTAGGGAAGGCGACTGCAGGAGCTACACGCTGGAGGAGGGAGTAGTCGTGGACTGGTGGCTACACTACACCTTTGTAAGTGGGTGCTCAGACAGACCCCAGACCACAAAAAAGAACCTCCCAAGACACAGCTAAATGAAAACAGAAGTAACTGCCTTAGCCAGTGAAGTGCATTTCTGCCATGGGTATGTCTGGGAGGGGTGGGGTGACCTCTTGATGAGGAATGGGATATCATGCATTGAAAGCAGGCAGGGGTGCAGCGTGGTGTTTGGTGCACAGACAGCGCCACCCCTCGGGAAGACGGAGGCCATGTGGGAGGCCTGGCTGGTTCTCGGGCTAATCTGAATAACGCCAGGCACAGCTGTGCACCCGTGCCAACTGGGAGGCTGGGCAAGAGGACTGCAACACCCCAGATCCCGGTGGATGGCCCCTAGCTCCATCTCCCTTCCTTACTACCCCCCTCCCTCCATAAAGGGAACAGAAGTGGGCGGGATCACACGGGTGCTTCTCCTCCTCCTCCTCACCACAGCCAGGGCCATCCCTGTCTCCCCTGCCGAAAGCCCACTCATGCCCCACCAGTGGCTGAGAGGGAAATCCAAACATGGCTGGGCGAGTAAGGCCCTGCATTATCCCACTCCTGACTACGTCCTCATCTCCTTCGTCTCCTTCCCTGTCCCCACGCCCGTCCTCGCCCAGCACCCTCCGTATGCTCCAGCCGCAGTGGCCATCCTCGCCCAGCATCCTCCGCACGCTCCAGCCGCTCCAGCAGCCACCGCCCCAA